GTCAGGGGCCCGAGACTGTTCAACTGCCTCCCAGCATACATAAGGGGGATTACCAACAGACCCCTGGCAGTCTTCAAGCTGACACTGGACAAGCACCTAAAGTCGGTTCCTGACCAGCCGGGCTGTGGCTCGTACGTTGGTTTGCGTGCAGCCAGCAGCAACAGCCTGGTTGATCAGGCTCTGATCCACCAGGATGCCTGGTCACAGACCGGGCCGCGGGGGCGTTGACCCCCGGAACTCTCTCCAGGTAAACTCCAGGTAAAGTCCAGTGATCCAGTAGCTGGGACAGGCAGGAGCGGACTGCTCTAAACCCGTGTTGCCCTGGGTTGTGTAACTGATGGGTATCTTGGTGGTTGGCGATCTTATTTCTTAGATCCCTTTCAAAGATTTTTATGATATGGGATGTTAGTGCTATCGGTCTGTAGTTCTTTGCTGTTGCTTTACTGCCACCTTTGTGGCGTGGGGCTATGTTTGTTGTTTTTAGTGAGTGTGGGATGACCCCTGTGTACATGCTCTGTCTCCATAGAATGCTGAAGGCATGTGACAGGAGCTTCTTGTAGTTCTTGATGAACACGGAGTTCCATGAGTCTGGCCCTGGGGCAGAATGCATGGGCATGTCATTTATTACCTTTTCAAAGTTTTGTGGTGTTAGGATAATATCCGAAATTTTTTGAGATGACCAAATTTTGGGTCTCATTCATAAAAAAATCATGTGGGTTGTCGACCCTTAGTCTGGGCAGCGATTCGCCGAACACTGAGTTGTATTGAGACTTTAGTATCTAACTCATTTCTTTGCTTTAATGTGTATATGTCTCATCCCGCCTAAGCAGCGGCCCAATACTGGATATTGTTTTTCTCTTAGATTTGGCATAAGAGAAGAAGCATTTTTTTTCAGTTTCCTTTATGACTTTTAGTTCTTCCTGCGATTCTTGTCTCCTGTAAGATTCCTTCAGCTTAAGTTCGATATTTACAATCTATCACTAGTAAAAAATTCTTTGTCAGTGTCCTGCTTATTCTTGCCTGTTTTTAACCATCTTTTTAGTGATGATGTTCACACTTTATTTAATATATTTTACGGGCGGCTTAATTCTAATACAGAAGCTCGTGGGACTGGAGGTGAATTTGAGGGTATTCTTTCTCCTAAAAGTCTTGGGTGGAATCGTCCTGGAGAACGTAGATCCTTTGAACGTAATACGTTGGTTCTTTTATAATAAGATAGACCGACCGCCTCCAATCACATGAGTAAATCTTTCAACCGAGTCTTTTTCCAATATATCAGGTTGAGAAACTCTCTACTTCTCGGTTAGTTGTGTTTGAGGATAATAATTAAAATTGTTGCAACTCTTAACATTTTGCCTGATGTTTTTATCACGTATTATCATTACTTAAACAATGTTGGTCTAGTCCTAAGTTTTGAGCATCAAGAGAACAAACGTGTGACCAAACTTTCTGACACCAGCTGCTACTGACCACCTCGTAGTAAAAATAGACACATGTGTTAGGTAACTGTCGTAGGTGGCATCGTAGGGAAGAAAAACTGATAGGCAAGTATGCGAGAAAGTGAAGGTTGGTTAATGAGGTTTGGAACCTGTCGACACGAAAATCACTTGTTCACCACCCGTCAAGAACACTTTAGTCCCTGACATCGGAATTAAAGTAAAACGTTCAACATTTGAAAATAAGATGTTTAAGTAACCCTGAAGGAGGACTTTATTTAAATGGCTGCCCATTTTTTTTTTTTCTATTCCTACTCTTCAGTTTTATTTCGATCATAACTCGAGAATCCTTCATTAGATCGGATTCAAATTTTGAACGCGTAACGAATAACAGGTTCTAGGAACACTTGGCATGTGCATGTGCACTATGACCAAAGTTATTGAACCGTATACCAGGCCCGTGGCCTGGTATACGGTTTAATAACTTTGGCCCGTGGCCTGGTGTACGGTTTAATAACTTTGGCCCGTGGCCTGGTTTACGGTTTAATAACTTTGGCCCGTGGCCTGGTATACGGATTAATAACTTTGGCCCGTGGCCTGGTATACGGTTTAATAACTTTGGCCCGTGGCCTGGTATACGGTTTAATAACTTTGGCCCATGGCCTGGTATACGGTTTAATAACTTTGGCCCGTGGCCTGGTATACGGTTTAATAACTTTGGCCCATGGCCTGGTATACGGTTTAATAACTTTGGCCCGTGGCCTGGTATACGGTTTAATAACTTTGGCCCATGGCCTGGTATACGGTTTAATAACTTTGGCCCGTGGCCTGGTATACGGTTTAATAACTTTGGCCCGTGGCCTGGTAGGCAATGCTTTTACTTCACACACTAAGCCAATTGTTCGTGCCTCAATTCCTGGCATGAGTAAAAACAATGGGCGTGTTTCCTTATACCTGTTGTCTCATTCACCTAGCAAGCAAGTAGGTGCCTGGGTGTCAGTCGATTGGTGTGGGTCACATCCTGTGTGGTAAAAGTGATGACCCCAGTGGATAAATAAGACAGACAGTCCTCGATGAATTAGTTTAATTAATATCTTTATTATGCACCCCATGCCCATCCTGTGGGCGGTAGTCAAAAGATTACAAAGGTACATAATGGATCCAGGGACTGGACCCCAAAGTTATGATGGCTGAACTAGTTACAAAGGTAATGAACTCCAGGTAGATCTGGTCACAATCATGGCGCACTGACTTTCTTGCATTATCCCGGATGGCTAACCCTCTGGGGTTAAAAATCCGAACAAACTCTTATGTTATCATGGAATAGCTTTGATAACTTTCAAAATCCTCATCGGTGGAATTTCAGACCTTCAGAAAAGTTGCCTCCTAATTCACCGGCAGCGGGTAGGAGCAGATTTGGCCGTTTTACATGTAAAATTGTGAATAATTTCGATTCCTGTTTAATGATGACGATCAAAATACACACGTCTGCCTCTAGTGAATGGCTTTAATATTAAATGATTGACGCATCTTACAGGCAGTTTAGTTTGTGTGTGGGCTAATTTATTAAGTTACTAAATGCTGTAAAGAGTTTTTATGAGGATAGTGAGGCTCAGGTTAGGGTGTGTAGAAGAGAGGGAGAATACTTCCCGGTAAAAGTAGGTTTTAGACAGGGATGTGTAATGTCACCATGGTTGTTTAATATATTTATAGATGGGGTTGTAAAAGAAGTAAATGCTAGGGTGTTCGGGAGAGGGGTAGGATTAAATTATGGGGAATCAAATATAAAATGAAAGTTGACAGTTACTTTTTGCTGATTATACTGTGCTTTTGGGAGATTCTAATGAAAAGTTGCAAAGGTTAGTGGATGAGTTTGGGAGGGTGTGTAAAGGTAGAAAATTGAAAGCGAATGTAGACAAGAGTAAGGTGATGAGGGTATCAAATGATTTAGATAAAGAAAAATTGGATATCAAATTGGAGAGAGGGATTATGGAAGAAGTGAATATTTTCAGATATTTGGGAGTTAATGTGTCGGTGGATGGATTTATGAAGGATGAGGTTAACCATAGAATTGATGAGGAAAAAAAGATGAGTGGTGCATTGAGGTATATGTGGAGACAAAAAACGTTATCCATGGAGGCAAAGAAGGGAATGTACCAAAGTATAGTGGTACCGACAGCTTTATATTGGTGTGAAGCTTGGGTTGTAAATGCTGCAGTGAGGAGGCAGCTGGAGGTGGTGATGTCCTGTCTAAGAGCAATGTGTGGTGTAAATATTATGCAGAGAATACAGAGTGTGGAAATTAAGAGGTGTGGAGTTAATAAAAGTATTAGAGGGCTGAAGAGAGGTTATTGAGGTGGTTTGGTCATTCAGAGAGAATAGATCAAAGCAGAATGACGTGGAGAATGTATAAATCTGGAGGGGAAGGAAGATAAGATAAGATAAGATAAGATTTCGTTCGGATTTTTAACCCCGGAGGGTTAGCCACCCAGGATAACCCAAGAAAGTCAGTGCGTCATCGAGGACTGTCTAACTTATTTCCATTGGGGTCCTTAATCTTGTCCCCCAGGATGCGACCCACACCAGTCGACTAACACCCAGGTACCTATTTGCTGCTAGGTGAACAGGGCAACAGGTGTAAGGAAACGTGTCGAAATGTTTCCACCCGCCGGGAATCGAACCCAGGCCCTCCGTGTGTGAAGCGGGAGCTTTAGCCACCAGGCCACCGGGAAGGCGGGGTAGGAGTCGTCCTTGAAAAAGTTGGAGGGACTTGGTAAAGGAGGTTTTGTGGGCGAGGGGCTTGGATTTCCAGCAAGCGTGCATGAGCGCGTTAGATAGGGGTGAATGGAGACGAATGGTTTATGGGACCTGATGAGCTGTTGGAGTGTGAGCAAGGTAATATTTTGTGAAGGGATTCAGGGAAACTGGTTAGCCTGCACTTTAAAGAAGGGGTTTGGGATGTTGGCAGTTTGGAGTGACTATCTCAACTGTCGTATCTGGGCGCCTCTGCAAAGACAATGATTATGTATGAGTGATTGTGAGTGTTGGCTAATAGTGAAAGTTTTTTTCTTTCTTTTTGGGGTCACCCTACCTCGGTGGGAGACGGCCGACGTGACTCTCTCTCTCTCTCTCTCTCTCTCTCTCTCTCTCTCTCTCTCTCTATATATATATATATATATATATATATATATATATATATATATATATATATATATATATATATATATATATATATATATATATATATATGTATGTATATGTATGTATGTATACATATATTTGCAAAAACGTACATTAATGTAAACAGACATACATAAACATACCGATGCATATATAAGTACAACATTACACACACACACATACACACACATACACACAGCAGAAATGCTGTGTCCCAATAACTACACTCCCTTGAAATTGGGCAACTACCTGAGGTATGGAAGACGGTAAATGTAGCTCCCATTTTTAAAAAAGAAGACAGAAACGAGGCGCTAAACTACAGACCAGTGTCACTGACGTGTATAGTATACAAAGTCATGGAGAAGATTATCAGGAGGAGAGTGGCGGAGCACCTGGAGCATGTGTCACAAATCTTCTGGAGTTTTATGATAAAGTAACAGAAGTAAGACACGAGAGGGGTGGGTTGATTGCATCTTCTTGGACTGCAAGAAGGCCTTCGACACAGTTCCTCACAAGAGATTAGTGCAGAAGCTAGAGGATCAGGCGCATATAACGGGTTGGGAGCTGCAATGGATCAGAGAATACCTGACAGGGAGGCAACAACGAATCATGGAACGTGATGAGGTATCACAGTGGGCACATGTGACGAGTGGGGTCCCACAGGGGTCGGTCCTAGGACCAGTGCTATTTTTGGTATATGTGAATGACATGATGGAAGGGATAGACTCAGAAGTGTCCCTGTTCGCAGATGATGTGAAGTTAATGAGGAGAATTAAATCAGATGAGGATCAGGCAGGACTTCAAAGAGACCTGGACAGGCTGGACATGTGGTCCAGCAACTGGCTTCTTGAATGCAGCCCTGCCAAATGCAAAATCATGAAGATTGGTGAAAGGCAAAAAAGACTGCAGACAAAGTATAGACTAGGTGGCCAACGACTGCAAACCTCTCTCAAGGAGAAAGTTCTTGGGGTGAGTATAACACCGAGCATGTCTCCGGAAGCACACATCAACCAGATAACTGTTGCAGCATATTGGCGCCTGGCAAACCTGAAACTAGCGTTCCGATACCTTAGTAAGGAGTCGTTCAAGACACTGTACACCGTGTACGTCAGGCCCATACTGGAGTATGCAGAACCAGTCTGGAACCCGCACCGGGTCAAGCACGTTAAGAAATTAGAGAAAGTGCAATGGTTTGCGACAAGGTTAGTTCCAGAGCTCAGGGGACTGTCCTATGAAGAAAGGTTGAGGGAAATCGCCCTGACGACACTGGAGGACAGGAGGGATAGGGGAGACATGATAACGACATGCAAAATACTGCGTGGAATAGACAAGGTGGACAAAGACAAGATGTTCCAGAGAGGGAACACAGAAACAAGGGGTCTCTCTTGGAAGTTGAAGACTCAGATGAGGAACAGGGATGTTAGGAAGCATTTCTTCAGTCATAGAGTGGTCAGGAAGTGGAACAGTCTGGCGAGAGATGTAGTGGCGGTAGGAACCATACATAGCTTTAAGACGAGGTATGATAAAGCTCATGGAGCAGGCGGGGCCAGGAGGTGATTCTCAACCCCTGCAACTACAATTAGATGAGTACAATTAGGTGAGTACACACACACACACACACACACACACACACACACACACACACACACACACACACACACACACACACACACTCAGGAGCTGAGTCTCGACCCCTGCAGCCTCAATTAGGTGAGTACACATGCATACATTCTCGCACATACATAAGTAAATTTACATACACAACTGAAGAAAATACATTATTTCTTTTTATTAACATATCGACCGTTTCCCACCAAGGTAGGGTGGCCCGAAAAAGAAAAATTTCCATCATCATTCACTCCATCACTGTCTTGCCAGATGCGTGCTTTCTCTACAGTTATAAAACTGCGACATTAACACCCCTCCTTCAGAGTGCAGACACTGTACTTCCCATCTCCAGGAATTAAGTCCAGCTTGCCGGTTTTCTTGAATCCCTTCATAAATGTTACTTTGCTTACACTCCAACAGCACGTCAAGTCCTAAAAACCATTTGTCTCCATTTGCTCGTACCTAACATGCTCATGCACGCTTGCTGGAAGTTCAAGCCCCTCGCACACTAAACCTCCTTTACCCCCTCCTTCCAATCTTTCCTAGGCCAACCCATACCCCGCCTTCCCTCCACTCGGATTTATACACTCTCGAAGCCAACCTATTATGTTCCACCCTCTCTACATGTCCAAACCATCTCTATAACCCCTCCTCAGCCCTCTGGATAATAATTTTGGTATTCCTGCACCTCTTTCCAATCTCCAAACTACAGATTCTCTACATTATATTCGCTCCACACATTGCCCTCAGACATAACATCTCCAATGCCTCCGACCTTCTCCTTGTTGCAACATTCACCACCCATGTTTCACACCCATACAAGAGCGTTTGTTTAACTATATTCTCATACATTCCCCTCTTTGCTTTCAGGGATGAAGTTCTTTGTCTTCACAGACTCTTCAGTGCACCACTCACCTTTTTTCCTTTGTCAATTCTATGATTCACCTCATCTTTCATAGACCCATCTGCTGACACGTCCACTCCCAAATATCTGAATACGTTCACCTACTCTATACTCTCTCCCTCCAATCTGATATCCAATCTTCCGTTACCTAATTTTTTTTTTATCTCATCACCATACTTTCCTATATTCACTTTTAATTTCCTTCTTTTACATACCCTACCAAACTTATCAACCAACCTCTGCAACTTCTCTTCAGAATCTCCCAAAAGCACAGTGTCATCAGCAAAGAGCAACTGTGACAACTCCCACTTTGTGTTAGATTTTTTATCTTTTAACCCCACACCTCTTGCCAACACCCGAGCATTCACTTCTCTTACAACTCCATCTATAACTATATTGAATAACCACGGTGACATCACACATCCCTGTCTAAGGTCTACTTTTACTGGGAAATAATCTCTCTCTCGCCTACATACTCTAACCTGAGCCTCACTATCCTCTTAAAGACTCCACTGCTTTCAGTAACCTACCTTCTATACCATACATCTGCAACATCTGCCACATTGCCCCCCTATCCACCCTGTCATACGCCTTTTCCAAATCCATAAATGCCACAAAATCCTCTTTACCCTTATCAAAATACTGTTCACCTATATGTTTCACTGCAAACACTTGGTCTACACACCCTTCCTAAAGCCTCCTTGTTCATCTGCTATCCTACTCTCCGTCTTACTCTTAATTCTTTCAATAATAACTCTACCATACACTTTACCAGGTATACTCAACAGACTTATTCCCCTATAATTTTTACATTCTTTTGTCCCCTTTGCCTTTATACAAAGGAACTATGTATGCTCTCTGCCAATCCCTAGGTAACTTACCTTCTTCCATACATTTATTAAATAATAACACTAACCACTCCAAAACTATATTCCCAACTGCTTTTAACATTTTTTATCTTTATCCCATCAATCCCAGCTGCTTTACCCTCTTTCATTCTACCTACTGTCCCATGCACTTCCCTCACACTCACAACTGGCTCTTCCTCACTTCTACAAGATGTTATTCCTCCTTGCCCTATACACGAAATCACAGCTTCCCTATCTTCATCAACGTTTAACAGTTCCTCAAAATAAGTAAGTTTATTCAGGTATACACAAATACAGTTACATAGATTATCATACATAGCAGAATATGTGTAAAGTACCTGGGATTACCCAGAAAAATCAGACAGAGTGACATATTTCCTTGGGGTTCTTTTTATTTCCATTGGGGTCCTTTATTCCCTCCATCTTCCTGAAACCTATAGCTCTCCGTTTCATAAATCTCCTCTCCTATTTTTAACTAACAAATCCATTTGTTCCCTAGGCTTCCTAAACTTATTAATCTCACTCCAAAACTTTTTCTTATTTTTCAACAAAATTTGTTGATAACATCTCACCCACTCTCTTATTTACTCTCCTTTTACATTGCTTCAGATTAGATTTTGTCACTCACCGAAGTGGCTAGTTTACTGTGCACCCCATATCCATCCTGTGGAGGGCAGCGCAAGAGCATATGGATACACAAAAGGACTAGGAACTAGGCCCCAAAAGAGTTAACAGGTGTACATTTGGATTTATATCTACATATTTACAGTTCACTTATCTGTTACAAGCAAATTTTTAGGAAATTTGCTTAATATATCTGGTATGTTATTTTCATTAATAAGATATCTTGACATGTCACATAGGTTATTATACTGTCTATCTCTATATTCCTCAGTAAGTGGGCAATTAAGCACATAGTGCTCAAGACAGTGACCATATGCCTGACCACATAATTTGCATTTAGTTTGATCATCATCTGTGTGTCTCCCAAACTGCCAGAAGTACTTGTATCCAAGTGCTCCACCACTCTGTCTTTTTCTCTTCATATACTCCTCCGTCCTTGTATCACTTCTACTTTGTAAGAACCTCTCAAATGTTAACTTTTTCTCTCTTACTACTCTCTTTACATCATCATTCCACCAATCACTCTTCTTCCCTCCCGCACCCACTTTCCTGTAACCACAAACTTCTGCTGAACACTCTATTACTATATTCTTAAACTTACCCCATACATCTTCTACCCTATACTCACACTAGCCAATCTATCCTCCAACAGTTGTTTATATCTTACCTTAACTGCCTCCTCCTTTAGTTTATAAACCTTCACCTCTCTCTTACTTGCTGCTTCCATTTTTCATGTATCCCATCTACCTTTTATTCTCGCTGTAGCTACAACTAGAAAATGATTTGATATATCTTTGGCCCCTCTATAAACATGTACATCTTGAAGTCTACTCAACAGTCTTTTATCTACCAATACGTAGTCCAACAAACTAGTCATTACGCCCTATGTCATACATACCAAATAATATACATACGGCATAAATATGCACCGCACACATCTGCACAAGCATACATAGGCACAATCCAAGTGTATGCTAACAATGCTTGGGCAGCTACATCTAGTTATGACAGTCTTCCCAGTATCACACAGACGAAATGCCCCGGCATGACAGTGACTTTGTACTTACCAAACCAAAATTGTAATTACGCACTGTAACCTTTACAAAGAAATAAATCTTTATCTTTATCTAATATGATGCAAGGGAGAGACTAATTTGTTTTATGCTCAGCAAGGAAGAAGACTGTACGAGTATGTACAGCATATACATGTGATGAATGACTGTCGATGAATGAACAGAAAGGTGGACCGGAGGCGTGAACTGCGCACCCGAGAGTAACAGGTCCTGCGCTTTACCGCTGAGGTACCTGACAAAAAAAAAAAAAAAAGAATTACCATCACTAGGGAATTTCTTGCATAATTATGAACAATCTAGCACAGTAGTTATGGCTGAAAGTTCCTTCAGCAGCCAATATTAATAACGAGGCCGAAGTTAATAGACGTTAGTGTTCACAAGACGAGAGTCCAGAAACATTAATAATGGTGCAATGAAAGTAGATAGTGAGTCACCCCCCTAATATCTTCCCCTCCCTCCTCCCTTCCCATTACCCTCCTCCCCCCCTTCAAAAAAAATCAGGCATGTCGTCAATCTCAAAACCACATTTCACACAGTTGAGGCTGGATGAGAAAGCCTCGCGAAAAAGAGCATAAGACTTAACGATTAACAACGTTTCTCTTAGCGAAACGTTCGCTGTTGTCGGTTCGTTCGTTTTCTACATGTTTCAGACTAACAAAATGAACCAAAAGTACCATAACTGAACTTAACAAAACCGGATCACATGGCGCGTATCATCCCTCAAATTAAAAAAGAAATAAAATATACAGAGTTTAAGAGGCCGCTGAGAGGCATTATGAAACTGTACTAATGTAAAATAGTTTTGCTGACGCTGTCATTAGGATATTTACGCTTTATTTTCTCTGTATCTATCTATCTATCTATCCACGAACAAGCAGTTTTAAGCAGTTAACATTACTGCCACTAGCCGGGGATCGAACACGTGTTATTTTAGCCGCCTCGTGGCAAGCCAATCAAAAATCCCAGAGGCGGGCTAAAGTAACATAGGATATATATATATATATATATACATACATATATATACTGTGTCAATAAGGAACATCTCACTAGCATGAAGATGTTTCTCCTTGAAGTGAACGTGACAAATAATAATTAAATAAAGAAAATAAATGCAATATTTATGTTTCATAGAATGTGGCAGTAAGGTGGTGGGGATATAAATAATTTATTAGTGAAAATCATATTCCCCACGTCAACCCATGATGAAATGTAATGTTATTATTTAACTTAGAGATGTTTGGTTGTGTCCACAGGTGACAGAGGTGACAGCACGTTGTACTTTGTACTGAAGCACCGAATAAAGAGAAAATAGGCCTATTTAGGCCTGAAGCAACAACTGTCCTCGACATCAACACACGACAAGGGGATAAAAACGACAACTGGAAAGAGTAAAACAAATAGCAAGAATAACACTAACAGGAGCATTAACTCTACTAGGGGTCCTGGAGAAGAAATAATATTAACGAATAAATTGATTAACTGAAATATTATTGGAGGTGACAACTACAAGAGAAAGCTGTGTTCCATCAGCAGCAACACAAATAATCACCTTGCAACACCTCAACACAAGAATGAACAATCGTCGAACTCATGCTAAGGTTAGTGTTACCACCTGACTCACTGTCTCCTCTTGTACTAGTAGTACGTTAATCCTCTAAGTTAATTTTAAGCCTGCTCATAATGCTCTGCATACAAGGGGCTCTGGCATGTTGCACTGTAATAACTTTGTACTTCAGTGTATCATGTTCAAATTAATAAATAAATAAATAAATAAAAGATTTACTAGTAGTACGTTAATCTTCAAAGACGGTACCTTCAAGCTTCTAAAGCGCTCGTCATCTAAACATTTGAAGCTACCTTGACCAAATCAGATTACCTTTCATTGTCCAGATTATGCATTACCTTTCCTAGCTGGACCTTGTATATGGACACATCTGCTTGGGCTCTCCCGTATTCCATTTTTCTCACTACATTGCGCCATTCGCGTTGCAGTTGCAACGCGAATGGCAGTCCTTGGCTAACCGCAGTGTTGTTATTGATCAGTACCACTTGTTCGTGGGCACAATAATATAAAATGATGCTCGGTGTACTAGTACACCAAACAGGGACTAGAATAAAATTAGCCTAGAGTCACCCACACCACCGCATGTCCTTCGGTAGCGAGTACAACATTCAGTTCTGCTGGATGCGCTACTCTTAAGGACTGTGTGGTCCCGTGGATTAATTTCCGATTGTGACCCCTTGTTTCTGTGTGCTATCTCTGGAAAATCCTGTCTCTGTCCACCCTGTAAATTCCTCACAGTATTTTGCATGTTGATATCATGTCTCCTCTAACCCTTCTGTCCTCCATTGTGGTCAGGCCGATTTCCCTTAACCTTTCTTCGTAGGACATCTGCATTAGCTCCTTTACGAGTCTGATTGCAAACCTTTGCATTTTCTCTAATTTATTGACGTGCTTGACCAGGTTTGGGCTCCAAACTGGTGCTGTATACTCCAAAATGGGCCTGGCGTACACAATGTACAAAATCTTGAACGTTTCCTTACTGAGGTGTCGGAACGCTGCTCTTAGGTTTGCCAGGCGCCCATATGCTGCAGCAGTTATCTGGCTGATGTGTGCCTCGGAGATGTGCTAGGTATTATATTCACAACAAAATCCTTTTCCTCGAGAGAGGTTTGCAGTCTTTGGCCACCTAGCCTATACTCTGTTTGCAGTCTTCTTTGCCCCTCCCTGATCTTCACGACTTTGCATTTGGTAGGGTTAAATTCCAGGAGCCAGTTTCTGGACCAGTCTTTCAGTCTGTCCAGGTCCCTTTGTAGTCCTGCCTGATCCTCGTCCGATTTAATTTTCCTCATTAACTTCACATCATCTGCAGACAGGGATACTTCTGAGTCTATCCCTTCCGTTATGTCACATATAGCAAAAACAGCACTGGTCCTAGGACTGACCCCGGTGGAACCCTGCTCGTCACAGGCGCCCACTCTGACACCTCATCACTTTGAACATCAAAATGGTATACAATACCGACAGGTTGGTAGGTAAGACACATAGGCAACAGTTAGGCAACTTTATTCCGAAACGTTTCGCCTACACAGTAGGCTTCTTCAGTCGAATACAGAAAGTAGGAAGGAACAGTAGAGATGTGAAGACGATGTAATCAGTCCATCACCCTTGAAGTCGTAGAATTTGAGGTTGTCAGTCCCTCAGCCTGGTGAAGTTTAGTTCCATAGTCAGGAACTATCAGAAGATCAAGCGACAGTGCGGAGACTTAAATACTGTCGGAAGGAGAGGTGCAGAGAAGTAGTAGTGAGAATGCAGCTACTGAGAGGTCATGTCCCTCTCATATCCAACAATTCTCACTTGAAAAGGTTGTCCAAGGTGTTTTCTGTTGGATATGAGAGGGACATGACCTCTCAGTGGCTACATTCTGGATGCTCCAACACTCTGCTCATGATAATCTTCTCGATGACTTTGCATATTATACATGTCAGTGACACTGGTCTGTAGTTTAATGCCTCATGTCTGTCTCCTTTCTTAAAAATTTGGATTGCATTTGCAGTCTTCCATACCTCAGGTAGTGGCTCAGTTTCAATGGATGTATTAAAGATTGTTGTTAATGGCACACACAGCATTCTTGCTCCCTCTCTAAGGACCCACGGAGAGATGTTGTCCAGTCCCACCACTTATGAGGTATCAAATTCATGTAGCAGCTTCTTCACCTCCTCCTCGGTTGTGTGTAATTCATCCAGCACTTGTTGGTATATCCATTGTTGATGTACCCCTCTATTCTGATTCCTAAGTAGTCCTTTCTGTCTTCACTGTAAATACTTCTTTAAATCTCATGTTGAGCTCCTCACATACTTCTTGGTCGTTTCTTGTGAGCTCCCCACCTTCCTTCCTCAACTTGATTACTTGGTCCTTGACCGTTGTTTTCCTCCTAATGTGGCTATACAACAACTTCGGGTCAGACTTGACTTCCAATGCTATGTTGTTTCCTTATCTGTGCATACTCGTTTCTGGCTCTTCGACTAATCTTTTCATTTTCCTAGGTCCTTTGTCTTCTGTACTTTATCCATTCTCTACCACACTTAGTTTTTGTCTCCCTACACCTCTGGGTGAACCAAGGGATCGTTCTGGTATTTCCATTATTTCTGTTGCCCTTGGGAACAAACCACTTCTCTGCCGCCTAGCATTTTGTAGTAACATAGTCCATCATTTCGTTTACTGATTTTCCTACCAATTCTCTTTCCCACTGAACCTCTTATAGGAAGTTCCTCATGCCTGTGTAGTCCCCCATCCTACTCCTGTTACTCTCTCCACTTGTAACTCTACTTTGTATTCAAAGCTCAGAACCACATGATCACTATATATATAATATATATTATATATAAATATATATATAATATATATATATATAAAATTTTTATATATATAATATATAATATAATTATATATAATATATATGATAAAAGAACAGTAGGGAGAGAGAGAGAGAGAGAGAGAGAGAGAGAGAGAGAGAGAGAGAGAGAGAGAGAGAGAGAGAGAGAGAGAGAGAGAGAGAGAAGAGAGAGAGAGGGAGAGAGAGAGAGAGAGAGAGAGAGAGAGAGAGAGAGAGAGAGAGAGAGAGAGGGAGAGAGAGAGAGAGAGAGAGAGAGAGAGAGAGAGAGAGAGAGAGAGAGAGAGAGAGAGAAACAAGAGTATTTTTCAGTATAACAGGCCAAGCAACACACATACCAAGAGTAAGTTTATTTGGATGGAGAAGTACTGAAAGTTATTAACTGCTGCTGATAGTGACTCTTATTCAAGACGATACTGAGAAAACATTCTTTAAAAAATAGATAAGATAATGATAACGTTAATAAAACGTCATAACGTGTTGATGATGTTAAATAGCATTCCATTATTTAAGCTTCCTAATGTCTTAAAAATAAAAACCCCAAGAATGAGTATACATATAGTCAGCTGATTTCATAGTTGTATTAAGCACTCCAGTGACCATGATGTGGGCTGAGATCAAAACATTTATAAGGCACATAGTGAATTCAGGAGCTATTCTCTATGCACATATCTAGGGCAATTATCATACAAACTCAAGAGTAGATATGTTCAAGCATTAGAGGCCAGATATTGGTATAATCGGCATATAGATGTTAACAGGCAGACCAGGAACCATGGTCCGACCCCCTACACACACAACTAGGCGAGCACAGTAGCAGTAAACAACCACCAAGCACAACAAATACCTGGCTGGTGCTGATGGCACTGTGCAGAACGACAGATTTTGTTCTTTTTTTTTAATTTTATTGATTTTACTTACGAAAGAATACTGTAAGAAACTGAACCGTTGCAAACTATACGTTGATAGATGGTTAGTTAGTTTAATATGTTTATTATTCAGGCCATCATACCCATGGTGTGGGCGGTAGTCAACAAATTAGAGGTACAACTTTGGGGTCCAGGGACTGGACCCCAAACTTATGATAGCTGAACTAGTTACAAAGGTAATGAACTCCAGGTAGATCTGGTCACAATCATGGCAAGTTACAGAGGTAATGAATCAGCCTCACTCCTATACATGGTTACAGTCATGAACAAATTACAAAGTAATGAGCCACTGACACGTCATATATGACAGATGGCCAAAACGATATTGTAGTATCCAGTCGCATGTTTCAACTCTCTCTGAACCAGTGACACAAGGTCAGAGTGCAGGAAGGAAAGGTTTAACAGTGCGGTGAGAAATATATGTTAAGGTCAGCTCCGGGAGACCCATTATCCGACCCAGGAAAAACAACAACCAGAGGTGGAACAATAAAAAAAATCATTAATGGAATCTCCAAAGATGAGAGAGAGGCTGACAGTGACCTGCTAGTGTCCGGCTGTGTCAGGATCGTTCTACTCGTGTTCGGCTGTGTGAGGGTAATTCTACTAGTGTCCGGCTGTGTGAGGATCATTCTACTCGTGTCCGGCTGTGTGAGGATCATTCTACTCGTGTCCGGCTGTGTGAGGATCATTCTACTCGTGTCCGGCTTTGTGAGGATCATTCTACTCGTGTCCGGCAGTGTGAGGATCATTCTACTTGTGACCGGCTGTGTGAGGATCATTCTACTCGTGTCCGGCTGTGTGAGGATCATTCTATTTGTGTCCGGCTGTGTGAGGATCATTCTACTCATGTCCGGCTGTGTGAGGATCATTCTACTTGTGTCCGGCTGTGAGAGGATCATTCTATTTGTGTTCGGCTGTGAGGATCATTCTACTCGAGTCCGGCTGTGTGAGGATCATTCTACTTGTGTCCGCCTGTGTGAGGATCATTCTATTCGCGTCCGGCTGTGTGAGGATCATTCTACTTGTGTCCGGCTGTGTGAGGATCATTCTACTCGCTTCCGGCTGTGTGAGGATCATTCTACTTGTGTCCGGCTGTATGAGGATCATTCTACTCGTGTCCGGCTGTGTGAGGATCATTCTACTTGTGCCTGGCTGTGTGAGGATCATTCTGTTTGTGTCCGGCTGTGTGAGGATCATTCTACTTGTGTCCTGCTGTGAGGATAATTCTACTTGTGTCCGGATGTGTGAGGATCATTCTACTTGTGTCCGGCTGTA